TGTCTCTAGAATTTCACTGTACAGTATAGTGCCCAGAACTCAATAGAAAATGGCTAGACATGAGACAGTGCAACATATGCAAACTTCAAGAGAAATACTAAGGAAAAAGATTCACAGGCCATTTAGATAGTGGAGACATTAGATGCGGACTTGAGGATGACCACTTACTGTGTTTGAGGAAATGAATGGTAAGGTTGAGAGTTCAGCAGAGAACTGAAAAGGATTTTTGAAGATTTGGAAGGAAACTTTAAAATGGAAACCTACAAAATCTAAAATTGGTAATGCAATAGAAGGGCTGGGGATATAGCTCAGTGGCATAAGCACCTGCTTGGCAAGCACAAGGTCCTGAGTTTGATTCCCTGTACCAAAAAAACACCACCACCACCACCAACAACAAAAAACAAACAGATAATGCGATGGATGAGTTTAACAGCTGAAGAAAAAGTCAAGTAGAAAAAGACTCACAGGAAGCACAAAGAGACAGAAGAATGGAAAGTACACCGAAGAATGTAACAGTCACTTGAGACGTAGAAAGGAGTCTAACAACTGTCTGTTAGTTTCCTTGGATTACTGCAGCAACTTACCTCAAAGCTAGAGGGTTCAAACAGCAAACACTTGTTCTCTTACACTTCTGGAGTCTGGAAGTCCATCCCAGGTGTCACTGCGCTGAGACCACGGTGTCCTCAGGGCCACGCCCCCCTGAGGCCCCAGAGGAGAAGCCATCCCTTGCTTCTCCCAGCTTCTGGTGGCTGCTGGTGTCCTTTACCTGTGGCTGTATAGTGCCAATCTCCTTCTCCATCGTCACATCCCTCTCTTTTCTGTGTGTATCATTGCTCTCTGCCTCTTGTACAAGGACAGCTGGAATTGGGCTTAGGACCTGTTGTGCCTTCTGTCTAGATGTCCCCTCAAAGCCTCATGCAGTCATAGGTGGGGCTTTTTCAGAGATGGCTGAATCTAGAGTGTGTGATGCTGGGACTGATTCATGATGCAATGCTAGGATCAAGGGTGCTAGGACTAAGGGTCTGAGTGCTATTTGCCCTGAGTAGCCTGGATAAAATATAATGGATAGAAAGAGCTGCAGTTGTCCTTTGTTGCTTTGTTACCTTCTGTCTGCCACAAGCTCTTTCTCCTCTGCTATTCCTTTCTGACTTGTGCCACCCTGCCTTGGAGCCAGCTGATTTGGAACTGAAACCTCTACAAACTGTGAGCTAAATAAACCTTTCCTCCTTTAACTTTGAGTGTCAGATATTTTGTCTCAGCAATAAGAAAAGTAACTAAGATATGACCCTCTTGTGTAATTCAGGAAAATCCTCCCACTTCCAGATCCATGATATAATTGCATCACAGAGATTGTTTTTCTTTATGGGGCCAGGATATTTTGGGGTGGCCCTGGTTCCGCAAGTTACCATATGTATGACTAGAGTGCCTTGAGATGGGAGAAAATGGGGCATAAGCAATATTTGTAAAGATGATAGCTGAGATTTCCCAAAATAGGTTAAAAAAATAAATAAATGCACAACAACAACAAAACCCCTATTTTCTGATCCACAGTTTCAAGAAACTCCAAGTACTCCAGGTAGAACAAGAACAAAGGAAACTAAACGTTGCAGTTTGACTGCTAAAAACCAAAGATAATAGAACTAAAAGCACACAAAGAAAAACTATAAAAACCTTTTTAAAAGCAACAAGACTTCTAAACACTGATACCTCAAGGAAACATTGGAAGCCTTAAGAAAATGTAATACCCTCAAGTCCAAATACGTATAGTGCATACATACACATACACCCATTATGGTACAAATACTCTACCAAATTAGAGGTGACTTTTTGAACATTAAAGCAATTGAAGATGGCCAGGTGCCATGATACCTGTCTGTAATCCCAGCTACTTGGAAGGAAGATCAGAAGTTTGAGGCTACCTTGCACAATTTAGGAAGACTCTGTCTCAGAAAAAAAATTTTTTTAATGCCAGGGGAGGAAGATAACTGGCCAAGTGCTTCCCTAACATTTCGGAGGCCCAGGACCACAGATATATATGGGAATGATGACGTTACCAGACAGTCCAAAACATGGAAGGATTTTCTCCAACAAATTTTTCATCATACCATAGGAAAAACCAAAGGCAGAGATCTAGACA